CCAATTCTCTTCTTTCCCCGATATAACGCGCTCTTTCCCACGCTAACTTTCCAGGTGGAAAGGCGATGGCGGACCACATGATGGCCATGAACCACGGGCGATTCCCCGACGGCACCGGTGGGCTCCACCACCACCCAGCGCATCGGATGGGCATGGGGCAGTTTCCCGCCCCCCACCACCACCACCAGCAGCCGCCGCCGCAGCAACAGCAGCAGCAGCAGCAGCAACAACACGCCTTCAGCGCCCTGATGGGCGACCATATACATTACGGAGCAGGGAATATGAACGCCGGCGGTGGGGTGAGACACGCTATGGGGCCGGGGGGTGTCAACGGAGGGCACCCCGCCGGTACCATGCCCCCCCCGGCCCGTTTCAGCGGTTCCCAATTCATGGCCCCCCCAGTCGCCAGCCCGGGAGGGCAGCTGAGCGCCAGCATGCAGCTCCAGAAGCTCAACAACCAATACTTCAGCCACCACCCTTACCCCCACAGCCACTACATGCCGGACTTGCACCCCGGTAGCCACCAGCTGAACGGTAGTAGCCAACAGCAGCATTTTAGGGACTGCAACCCCAAGCACGGTGGCGGCGGAGGAGGAGGAGGTGGGAGCGGGTTGCCCCCCGCCGTCCCCCACGTCCCCGCGGCGATGCTGCCGCCCAATGTCATAGACACTGACTTCATCGACGAGGAGGTCCTCATGTCCTTAGTCATCGAAATGGGGTTGGATCGCATCAAGGAGCTGCCCGAGCTGTGGTTGGGACAGAACGAGTTTGACTTCATGACAGACTTCGTTTGCAAACAGCAGCCCAGCAGGGTGAGCTGCTGATTCATTGAAAACAAACAAAGGACTTTTCTATCGGTGCGAATGAAAACATTCCCCTAGACACGGTGTCTCACTTTTTCAGGGCTTGAAAAGGTGAGAATCTGGAAAGCAAGAGTCAACTATGCGCTTGTATAAATTCTTTTTTTTTTTTTTTTTTTTTTTTCCCCTTTTTAAATCCCTCCCCCTGTTTTTTTGGTTTTGGTTTTTTTTTTAAATTATTGTTGGCAGAACATGCTTCATTTTCATATATATCAGATATTAACACTTTTAGAGGCTTTCCTCAGCAGTAACGTGCCCATAATTCCCACAGTGCTGAACTGTTCGATATTAATCTCAGCAAATTGCTTAATCTTGTGGATTTTGTAAACGATGATTTTTTTTTCCGATGACTTGAACTGCATTCAAATTCTGAGTGAACAGGGAAGAAAAAAAAAAAAATTGCATTAGTTGGTTGCATGAACTTTGAAGGGCAGATACTACTGCACAAATGCTGCCATCTTGCTTAATTTTTAACTATGCATTGCAGTGCAGACTAATTTTTTTCTTTTTTTTTTTTTTTTTTGGGAATATGCTAAACTGGAAGCTTAACAGATGTGGGCCAAACCTTTCCAGATCAGGAAAAGTAATACTGTTACTTAAAAAGTCTGCTACCCATTCCCCCTCCCCCATATGTACAGACAATAATATGGTGTGGATGGAATGTTGACTAGTGGCAAACATTTCACAGATTATTATTTTTTTTTTTTTAATTATTATTTTGTTTCCGTCTTCAGCATTTTGACACTGTGCTAATATAGTTTATTCAGTACATGAAAAGATACTACTGTGTTGAAAGCTTTTCAGGAAATTTTGACAGTATTTTTGTACAAAACATTTTTTTGAGAAAATATTGTTAATTTATTCTATTTTAATTTGCCAATGTCAATAAAAAGTTCAGAAATGCTTTAGTTTTTCTAGAAGTCATTTACCAGTATTTTTTTTCTTCGAAACTCTTCCCCAACCGTCCCTGGTAAAAAGTGGAACATCTTATCTGTACAACCGTGTTGGTGTGCAAAAAAAAGACATTCCAAAAATAGAAAGTACACTACTACACCCATATCTATGTCATGGTGAACTCGGTAGGTGAGCGGGATTTGAACATAATTAACAGCATAAAGCCTCATACGTAAACATTGTAATATGCCTGTCAGTGTGGTTTTATGAAAAATAAAGTTGCCGAGGCGCAACTTTTCTTGTGACTTGCCAACATACTTGCTTTAAATGTAGTTGTCCAGAGTTATGATGCATAAAGTATTTATTATATTTATCTATTAAACTTGTAATTTTATAAATCTGCTTTCATTTATATAGTAGACTTTGTTCTTTTTGTATATTTGTTATCTCAGCTGGAAGAGGTAAGCGCCTAAAAAAAAAAGCACCGAGTGCCTAAAAATGCAAGTTTTTGGAACTTTGGGAAGGGAGGGTGGTGGGTGTTGTCCCACCCCTCACACCTCAGAGGGTTAAGGTGGGAGATTGCTGCCTCCATCCAGGTCTTCATGGCACCAGGACCTGATGGTGTTCCATCTCCAGTGACTTAGAAGAAGGGGCGTACGTACGTTGGACATCTCCGACCCCTCTGTCCCAGCAACTGCCACCACCTAAAGCCACAGACCAATCCCTACGGGTTCTACTTGAGATATTTGGGAGAAAAACGCCCGTTATTATAAGGCAATTGACACCTTGCTCCTTCAGTGCCAACTGTTGCAGCCTCCTGCCCCCACTCAGCCCTTGGCAAAGCTCCCGCACAAGTTATGGCTTCGGTGAGGACTCTGGGATCAGGACCCTAATAATACATGTAATCCCATTTAGCCACAGTTCCCAGGTTTGATACAGGAATGATACCACTCTGCTTTTCTTTTTGCTAATTTATTTATATTTTTTTTCCCCAGCCACGTCTTCTGAATTTATTAGGAACACAACCAGCATGGTGGATGTTGTTAAATTTTAAACCTGGGCACGTAAACGGGGAGTGGGGTGGGAGGGTGGAGGATATCACCACACAATGGGAGTGTAAATAGCAGTGGTTTGAATCAAGCTGGGAAATTAAACTGATTACTATTGCTAAAATTGTCCCAGCTGGTGAGAAAAGTGATATTTGGCCTTCTTTGCCTTACAGAGGGGAAGCAGCTAGTATGTTTTATGAATGTAAAAAAAAAAAAAGACTATTAATGCTTGTATTAAAGTATTAGCAAAAGTAGAAAGGAGCGTACACTTCTGGGAAAACTCTCCACAGGCAGCAACAGCCCGTTCTTAGACAACTCTCAGCACCCAAGAATTTAAAAAAAAACAACCTTCTGGTTTCAGCCAGTGATCGGTAATGTTTTGTGACAGTAAATTTA